ACGTAACTGGTTTTATTTTTGTGATCTCAGCAATGGAGCTTTAATGGTCCCCAGAGATTTCTCAGGGACTCCGTCTCTGTGTCCCTTGTAGACAACCTAGATTCCCCTCTGAGTTCAAGCTCTGTGAAATTTTCCTTACTCTTGCAACGTTGAGAAGTTTTCTATAAAATGTCTTGGTCGTCCTCTCTGATACCAGAGTGGTATAATGCAGTATTGCCAGTGGGATGTAGATGAGAATGGTATAGGTGACTGGACAAAGTATAAGGTGTCGAGGCCTGTCCTGTTGTTGGAGTGTGGACCCTGGAGTGCACTACCCTGTGCAAAGTTCAAGTGGGGTTTTTATTTGCCAGCGTCAGCTGGATCGCTGCAAATCTGGTGCATTTCTGCGGCATGTTTCATCACGTAAGGAATTTGTGTGGCTGCCAAATTCACTCTCAGAGCCACTTCTGTATCATCTGGTAACCTTTAATCTACAATAGGGAGGAGTATGAATCTGTTTCTCGATGATATAATGTGATGCAACTTGTTCTTGAAGCAGAAGCCTTACTGATAGGAAGAAAAGCCCCTGTATTCCTCTTTCCACTTTTCAGTGACTGAAAATTCTGGTAATCAGTTTGAAATAAATAGTATCACTCCTTCATCTGCTCAGTAACTGTTTCTATTAAAGGCAGTATATGCTTCCATGTGCTGTATATTATACCCAGATACATACAGAGACAATGGGAAATACAACCAATACCATATCTTCCACTTACTATCTGTCTAATAACTTAAGAGTATGTAACATTTTACAGAGGAAAGTATTTTATTCTTTACTCCATAGAGCTTACCATCCTTATTAGACTCAATACAACAAATACAATGCACAGAAGGCTGCAATAGTGTTAAACAATGTTGAAACTCACATTGCGTTTGCTATTTTTCACTTTCTTCTTGGAACTGTACAGTAAGTCTGGAAATTTGGGTTCTTTGAAATGTTCAAAAGAAGTTTGAAGATGGCAGACAGGGATGAATTCTGTTTCATTCTTTACCAAAAAACGCCAAAAATAATTTGCTTAACTATCTGTATTTTGTATTAACCAATCTATAGAGACACACTCAGATCAGGAATTTAAAGCTGAGCAAAAGTGTTATTCTTGCACAATGCTTGGTTCAGTGTTCAGTAGTCATTGAGAAGGCTAGGAGGAGATAAGAGGGAAGGCTATTTGTAATGTGCTTCCCTCCCCCTTTTTTCTTGTACTCTATTGAAAAGACCTGCCAGTTTGACAAATACCATCAGCAAGAAAGGAATTATTGTATCTCCAGCCCTCAAGGGTTTCTTATCTCAAAACCAGCCTTTATTATGGTTTTATGGTTTTCCTTTGGCATTAAATCCCACTTTTTCTTAAATAAATTCGTAAGTACAGGAAACACTATATATTTGTATGTATGTTCATAAAAATAGAAAAAATAATGTGCAACACTTTCCAAGATCAGATGAAAATTTAGTGTGTGTTTTTTAAATTGTTTCCTTTACCGTCAAAGGCATATGAGCTCAAACATGCTCTTTCTGTTAATGTGCAATGACTCACAGCAGCAAGAACTTGATTTTACAGTATAACAGCAAGATTTTGCTGGTTGGTTGTAGTGTTAAAATGTTTGCTTTTTATAGCTTTTAAAATGGAAATATTTAATTGAAATAGAAATTGAATTAATTGTTGTTGATTACTTATTTCCAATAAATAGTGTTGCTCTTAGTCTGAATTTCTTACAGAATTCAAACACCATGGAGGCATTAAATGCCAATGTTATGCTATGATATGGGGAATACATGACTTTTATATTTAATATTACTCCTACTTTCATCTGAAGCTTGTGATCATAAGTAATTACTTGGTGCCCTAGTACTGTGATCTCTTCTGTTGAAACCGTTTCAAGAACAGCATCTCCCTGGCATGTATCGTACTTTCACCTTTCTATTTAAGTAGAGAAAATGAAAAAAGAACAATTGTGAGAGATAAAGTGTGTTAATAACGTCATAATTTTATGATAACATAATATTAACAATAATAGTGACAGAAGGTAGAAGCTGAGCAAGAGGTGAGATTTTGGGGATGCATTGGACCTTTAAGACAGTGAATTAAACTTTGTATGTTTTCTTTTTCTTCAAACTACTAAATTCATTCAGAGGCAACCATCTGATGTTGAAATTATTGCTGTTTGGACCATCTGCATTACTCTGGTAATAATGTGCTTTTGGTTCCTGTTTTCAATGTATAAAAAGATGTAATTGATTTCTCTATCACAGCCACAGTCTTGTTCTGACTCTCTCTATGGACTCAGGCTGTGATTCGGTGGAAGCCGAAGTCAATCCTAGTGGCTTATTACTGCATTTTTGCCCATTGCCACACTGTCCTGCCCCCTCTCATGTACCAAGTCCACCCTTGTGTGAGCTTGCACTGAGCTGTTTCAGCATGGTATGCTAACAGGATGGTAACTGGACAAAGTGCTACTGTGAATAATTTTCTGCATTAGAAGTGCCAGAACAGCAGCACTAGCAGAGATGAACTGTTCTGACAGCA